AAAAAAACAAAAAAATCTGTGGAGCCTTACTATGCTAGATGTTATTATAGGCACTGCAGATATAAAAATAGTGCTATGCTGAGAACCAGCCCCACAACTAAGACTTAAAAGTACAGGGTTTAAAAACAATTGTAAAAATACATGAAGTACAGTGGCAATCCAGGGAGGGGTGAGAGGTGGCTAACCACACAAACTTCTTTTTCCTATTCAGATGAACTTAATTGTTCTTTTTAAAAAGAAACAAAAAATAATGCTTTTAGGTTCTTCTTGCAGTTTCCTTTAGGGACGTGCTGTCTCTGGGTTAATATCATTTTCCTCTCCTCCCTCTATCCACTCTGTTGGACACCCGCCTTCAGTTTCTTCTTGCTCTGTATTTGAGCCAAATAGTCTGGGGAGCTTGGAGGGAGTAGATAGCCTCATATGAGGCTGGAAGCTAGTGGAATCCTCATAGGGAAGTATATTTTCTGACCCCATTTTTATATTCCCACCTTCTGTAGTGCTGTAAGTAGATAATCTGGTTCTAATAGCCTCAATCCTTTCCTTTCTGAAGAAAATGCAGGCTATTCCCTTCTGCAGTCCCTCTGTCCATTCCTCCCTCAGATTTGGACCATTAGTTAAGTATCGCTACATGGTAACATATGGTATTGAGTGATACTTGAATTGTGGTCCTATTATACTTGATGGTAGATTTCTGAAAAAATAGGTATTTAGATGGGGATTTCTTTTTCATGATAGGATTTTAGTCCTTCAAATGGGTTGGATCAGTCATTGGGGGTATAGGTTAAAGAGCAACTTCATTTTAGATGAGTTTCTGTCACACACCCAGACAGCCTTAATTTTGTGGTGAACTAAGACTTTCTACAGAAACATGCACAAAACAAAGGTACAGCCAGCACCTGTGAAAATTATATAAAGTCTTATTATATCTTTATAGCTTGAATACTAGCTGTTCTAACACAGCTTTCATTTTCTGCTGATTCAAAATAGTATGAAGTTCATACATGATCTGTTAACAAGAATCTGTCAAGTTGCAAACTTTAATTCTATCCATTCTGATACATTTTGACTTTTCATTGTTACAGTCTTGCAAAATTAGCTCCTAGAACCTACAACAAAAATTGCATGAATAAAATAACTCCCTAACCTGCCTAAGGAATATTCTTTATTTCTAAGTGACAATAGTGTCACTTTCTTTTTTTCTTTTCTTTTCTTTTTTTTTTTTTTTGAGACAGAGCCTCAAGCTGTCCCCCCTGCGTAGAGTGCTGTGACGTCACAGCTCACAGCAACCTCCAACTCCTGGGCTCAAGAGAGTCTCCTGCCTCAGTAGTTGGGATTACAAGTAGTTGGGATTGCAGGCGCCCACAACACCCAGCTGTTTTTTGGTTGCATCTGGCATTGTTGTTTGGCAGCCCCAGGCTGGATTTAAACCTGCCACCTTAGGTATATGTGGCTGGCGCCTTAGCTACTTGAGCCACAGGCACCGAGCCTACTGTCACTTTCTTACCAAACTTTTTTTGATGTTCTAAACTTCACAATAGCCCTTTTTCCTTTCTCCCCCACATTGAAAGAATAAGAGTTGTTTGGGGCCACACATTAAATCAGGTGTCCTCAAACTACGGCCTGTGGGCCACATGCAGCCTGCCTAGGACATTCATCCGGCCCGCCAGGTATTTTTGCTGCCGCTGCCTGTCCTGCTTAGCATCCGACTCATTCCGGGGCCTGCAGTCCGGCCCTCCAGTAGTCTGAGGGACGGTGAACTGGCCCCCTGTTTAAAAAGTTTGAGGACCCCTGCATTAAATACTCAAACACTAATGAAAGCTGATGAGAAAGAGAAAAACTAAAAAAAAAAAGGTCCAATGCATACTGTTTGTGATATTTGACACCACAGATGAGCGAAACAGTCCTCGAAGAATCTGCATGCCACATGCCACAGGTTGCACACCCCTATATCTGAACACTTTAATTTCTTCTTTACATGTGCAAAATAAAGGTTAGTTTATCCATCGTATAAATAAAGTTGCTTTAAATTTATAATTTTGCAATAAAAATGTTGTACATCTTTTGAAAATATTTATAGTTTCAATATTTAGTCTATCTTAAAGTATGTACAACCATTGACCTTTTTTTCACTCAGTGTGGCCTTTTCCCTTTCCGTTATTACACGATTAAAATGAATATATTCTAATTGTCAAAGATTCAAATAATAACAGTGGTGTATTAGCTAAAAATGAAAACGTCACTGTGTCCACC